GCTCAGACACAAAAAGACAAATGCCACATGTTCTCACTTGAGTGGGAGCTAAATAATATGCACACATGGAAGCAAAGTGTAGAATAGTGGACAATGGAGACTCAAAGGGGTGGGGGTTGGGAGGGTGAATGATGGAGGTTTCTTGATGTGTACAATGTGTATTGCTCGAGTGATGGATGCACTTAAGGCTCTGACTTCACCACAATGCAATATATTAATGTGGCGAAATTGCACTTGCACTCCATGGATATATACAAGTAAAAATTAAATTTTAAAACATTGCACACATTAACAATACCAAACCTCCATTTGTTGAGCCCCAAAGGCATACCAAGGCATACGGTGTGGGGTTCAGCCTCTAGATTGGGACACCCTAGGTTCCAATCTCTCCTCTGCTATGTATCTGGGTAACTCAGTTTCCTCATCTGTAAAATGAGAATGCAGATAGCCCCTGCCTCATAGGGTAGGAGGAGGATTCAATAAGTCAGTACCTGTAAAGACGCGCAGAACTGTGCCTGACATATGCCCATACCTCTCATTTTAACCTCACAAACACCCTAAGAGGTAAATTTTAGTTGTCCCATTCTATAGATGGAGAAATTGAGGCTTAGAAACATCCAGCAGCAGCAATTCCAACACGGCCTGCCCTGGTGACCACTGGTAGAAGTAATACCCAAATGCAGGGCTCTGCGACCCCAAAGCCCTGTATCCACGGAGCTACGCACACGGCTGCTCCCCTGCAAACGCTGCTTCTCAAAAGGCGCTGGCATCTTGAAAGAGGATGCTGGAGTACAGCATGCTGAACCCAAAGAGTTAAATCCTCAAGGTGAATTAACAGGTAAATGTCACCTGGGTGGAAGAGAACTTTTTGGGGAGTGGGGAGAAAGCACCATTCCAGGCTTCTCAGGAGCAGGGAGAGAGTGACCTTCCCAGCCTACTAGAGGCACAGGGCAGCCTGCTGACACTCCTTCCAGGGTCACCTGAGGCGCACCAGCACTTGCTAACACCTGCTTTCCCCAAGCCTTCATCCCAGGCACCCGCGGTTCTTTCCAATTAGATGACCAAAGGGCTTGCTCTGCCGCTTAGAAGGGAAGCTTCAGTGCAGAACTCTGCAAGGTGAAGGCAGCTTCCCGAGGTTGTTAGCGGGCTCTGCTCGGGCTCCAACTTCCTGTTAGCCTGAGGAAAATAAAGGCCCCTGCAATTATTCCTGTGGGAACTCTCTACCCCCACTGTACCCTGCTCCTCACTACCTTGCAGAGAATTCTCTTTCCTGGAGGAAGATCTGTAATTCCCTTTGGAAACACTGAGCAGCTTTCCAGAGGACCTTTCTGGGGAAAATGATGAAAAATCACACAAAGTGCGCGCCAGAAGACTTATAAAGTCAGTGAACTCAATTTTGTTCCCTTTAAAGGAAATGAACTTGCCTTAACACGCTGAAGCAGACAGATCCATCCTTCGCAGTGGAGAAGGGAGCATGAGTGAAACTGCAGCCAGGAGACAGCCAGGGTAGATTTGAGGCCAGGAGTTTCTCCCCAGTTTGTGCTAAGGACAGAAGAAACCAGGGATCCCAGAAGGGCGGCAGGCAGAGTTCTCAGAGAGCACGCTCACACCCGCAGGGCCGCCTCCTGCCTCAGTCAGAACACCTGGGCATAATTACTCCCTCCCTGCGGCTACCCCCAGATCCATCCCTAACTTCCCTTCCCAGCCTTATCCCCATGCACGCACCCCTTCAGGCATTCCAGCACACTCTCTGAACCCTAAATCAATGTTGTACTCCTACCACTTCTGGCCCTTTCTCTGACCTCTCCATTTTCACCCCTCCCTGACTTACAAGCTCTTGCTTTAAGAACCCTCATTTCTCCTCCAAGCTGGAAGGGATCATCTTTTTATCCACCAGACTCAAAACAATTTATCTTTACTGTTCTTGGTGCCTTTGCTACTGTCTGTCTCATAGGTTAAGGAACTGCCCCAAGGACACAAAGCAATCTAAGGCCAGGTCTCTTGACTTTCTGTCCCGTGATCCTTGTACGGCATCAAACGCCTTCTCAGACTCTGGAAGGCAAAATTCTGTAGCCAGAATAAAAACAAAAGGAGAAGGGTTTGCATCTTACATTAGTAAACATGCTGCAAAAAGGCAGTGACCTCGGCCCCAGAAGCTTCGATTCAGCATTGAGGACCACAGAGTCACTCAGGATGGTTCATTTGTCCACATGGGCAGAGTCCCTTTATATCCCTCTCACAAGAAAGGTGTCCCTGAGCCCTATGTCCCTGGGAGCGTCTATGAGGCTGCTCACATCTACTAATACTAGAATTCTTCCTAGGAATATAGGAAGGATTTGAGAGAATATTTCGATAGGGCTTGGGGTCTAGGATTTTATGCCCAAAGATCATTTTTGGCCAACAATAGGTATTTCCTAAACTGCCTCAAGGGGCACAGCTGTTTGCCTTGCAGACATCTGTCTTCTTGTTTGTTCCTCCTCCCTAAAGGACTCCTGATTATTTTCAGGTGTCAACTTTTCTCATTTGAACCAGGAGAGGGACCCCTCCCTCCCTTACTCCAGAAAGGCAACCTAATTAGTCTAAACCAGGAGTCAGCAAACTAAGGCCCGTGGACCAAATATGGCCAGCCCCTGCTGCCTGCAAGCTAAGGATGGTTTCACATTTTTAAATGTTTAGAAAGATAAAAAGAAGAATGATGTTTCTTGTCATGTAGAAATTATATAAAATTCTAAGCCAGTGTCCATAAAGATTTTTTTTAACAGCTTGATTGAGATACAATTTATATAGGATAAAATGTACTCATTCGAAGTGTACAATTGAATGGCTTGCAGTAAATTCACAAGGTTGTACAACTAGCACCACAATAGATTTCAGAACATTTCATTACCCCTAAAAGAAACTTCATACCCCTAAAGCTATTATTACCCTTCAATCCCCCCCCATCCTTCAAGCTGTAGGCAGCCACTAATCTATTTCCAGTCTCTATAGATTTGCCTACTCTGGACATTTCATATACATAAATAAAGTTTTATTGGAACACATCCATGCTCATTTACATATTGTCTACAGCTGCTTTTGCACTATAATGGCAGAGTTGAATTGTTGCGACAGAGACCATATATCCCACAAAGTCTAAATTATTTACTCTCTGGTCCTTTACAGAAAAAGTTTGCAAATTTCCTATCTAAGCCAATCAGAGTTTGGCCTTTCCTTAAAGTCTGTTTTTGGATGAGAGGTCAGCACTTGACCTATGATGACCCAATCAGACATAAAGAAAGAACTTACTTCCTCTGCACATGGAATAAGTTTCTCTTTCCTGGCCTTTGCAGGGTATGACTCAGTTGCTATCAGAAGCCATCTAGGTACCAGGAGGGAATAGTCTGGAGACAACAATGAGGATGAAGGAACTGAGAAAAAGAAAGAACTTGGGTGCAGGATTGCATTGAATGAACCCATCCTGAAACCTGCCTACCTCTGGATTTCCTGCCATACGAAACATCCTCATTGTTTAAGACGACATGAAATAGAATTTCTGTTAACCTGTAGCCCAGAGCATCCTACCGGATACAACCTCTTGCTAAAGAAGGTGGTTCAGTAACATACGCTGGTTTGGGCCAAAGTTGAATTTCCCCGGAAAGTGGAAGGGAGGCTGAGCACAGTCACCAGCAGGCCTCTTAGTCTGCTCTTCCTCCCGGCGATGTTCTGCCTTTGTAAGCAACCGGGCAACATTTGGGTTTGGAGGGCAACATTTTCAGGGAAAACCAACTTGTTGGCCTGCCTACTTGTCTGCTGTCCCTGGCTTTTCATCTAGCCTGATCAATTGTAAGATGTAGCTCTTGATCTCATGTAAACATAAATAAATGAAATAGATAAAAAAAAATAATTGCTCTCTTTGGAGAAGGAGTGTTAAGTTGTGGGGGTGGTGGGTGGGGTCTGATCTATTATACAACTTTCCTTTCCCCTGGTGCTTGAGAAAGACATCGCCTGTTTAAGAAAGCAGGTAATAGAAGATATAGTTTTGTTTCCTTCCTTCCTTCTTTCTTTCCTTTCTGTAGTGGGCACCCAAAAAAGAAGTAAGTTAAGAGATCTTGATATTTTAAATTGGACCTGCTATGATGTTAGTATTTCAGGTATTTCTTTCTTATGCTTTTCTAAATTGTTGTTCTCTTTATAATGAACATGTATACATTTTAAAATCAAAATTTAGTTTAATTAAATATTCTAAAAAACGTATCTCATTAGTATTTTCTCCAAGTTGTCCTAAAACCTCGGTTGGTCACCAGTGTGGTTGTTTAGTGTGTTGATGAAAAATCATCTCACAGTTCAGTAAGATGGCTAAAGATAATGCTATACTAAAACATTTCCATTAATTAAATTATTAATAATAGCAAGAACAAAGCTGTAAGATTTAAGACCCTGGGGTTGAAGGCCGGGCTTGTCACAAGTTTATGTGGCATTGACCAGTCACTTCCCTTATATTTTAATTTTTTACTCCTAATTGAAGCTTTAATCTCTGTGTTCCCTTTCTTAAAGGGACATTTCCTGATGTCACCTAGCCTTTCCAAAGTTGAGTTAGACTTTATTCAACTACTAATATAGTCGACTTCTATATTCCTAAGGTGCTCTAGCACATTTCTTCATTTAGCCCTTATCTGGCTGAACTTTTAAAGTTCATTCACTGAACTCCTCAGCTAAATGGGGAGTACTTTGTACGAAATGACTCTCTCTTTATCTCAGTTTCCCCAAATTTGCTATAACCTACCCACTTGATAAATGCTTTTCAGATGAATGAATAACTGTCTTCCATTATTCCAGTCTAAAGAATAAGGCCACTGGACAAAACCAGAGCCCCTTGCATCTCTAAAGTTGAATTTTTTTTTTTCTGTGATGTCTTAAATAAGACATGAGCTCACTTTTCCCTCCTGTAAAAGACATATAGCAATGGGCACCTAGTCATCAGGGACTCAGTATCTCTCTTCTCCTTGTTCTACTATACTTACTGAATGGCTGCTCATCTCTAGGTTGCCTCATGTCTCCTAATGGCTGCTGAAGCGCCAGTCATTATGTGAATGTTCCAGGCAGCTGGAAAGAGGGAGCAACAAAAGGAGCAAAGGGGCATAGTTCCTTTGTGAGTCAGCTTCTTTTGAAGTCCCTACTGATGACTTCCACATAAAGCTTACATCTATGAGGGAAGCTGGGAAATATAGACTTGTAGCTAGGCAGATTGCCACACCCAAGGATATAAAGGTCTTTTGCTAAGAAAGAGGGGAATGGGGATTGGGTGGGTAGAGGGAAATCTCAACCAACCTTGGTGAATGTCCTCTTGATGGCAGCTTGTCACAGACGATCAGAGTTGGCTTTCAGAGGCAGGCCCTTTTTGGAATTTGGTTCTTCATGTCATCACCTATGCGATTTTGTGCAAGTCACCGTTTGGAGAGTCAGGTTATATATTGACACAAATGGTGGCTGATTTGGTAAAATCTGATCTTATATGGGGCTAAGTGTATGATCAGTTTGTTAGGCAAAAATCTTGAACTATTAAAATTACCCTTAAAAATCTTTTAATTTAGTCATGGAGAATGAGCATTTTATTGCTGGCTTTTTCCCTTGTGGAACAAAAATATATGTATTTTTAACCCACAAGGGTTCCAGTGAAACAAGAGGCGTCCACCATGCAAGAGCTGGGGTGGGTGGGGGGAGGTAAGCCCCACTACAGTGGCACCACCTGGACTGGTGCCCGCTCACATGGACTCCTGGGCCTGCACAGGTGAGTTGAATAGTAACATTTAAACCACTTACATTTTCTGCCTCTCAATCTTCCTAGTTTGCCAATAAGCAGAGCCCAGTGTAGCAAGTTAAATCCCTGTATGTGACCCCACTGCACTTGTCATTCTGGCTGTCTAGTTTTAAGTCTGATAAAATACTCCATGTGTGTCGAATGCTGCCCAGAGGGTAGCGGGCACGTGGGTGTTAATGAGCACATTTCTAGGCACACCAGACCTTGCGCCGCTTCTGCCAGTCTGCATGATCTCCGGGCTGGCACAGCGTCTCCACTAAGTTGTATTCTGGTATCTGTCCTTCCAAGAAGGCCTCATGCCTCCTTGATGGTGGGATTTACACACGTCACCAGACAGTGGAATGAGATTATTTTTAGAGGACGAGCATACTCATCACCCTACACAACACCACTCTGCTGGCTGCTGCAGAAAGCTTGGACTTTAACAGAGCTTGAGATTCCAGATAGTTTTTCATTTCAGTTGCGTTTATATTTTTAAGAGAATATGGAACTGTTTCCACGGTGACATTCCATAATCACAGAGTCTGGAGCGGAAAAATGCCGTAGTAGCGAAGCTAGAGGAGCAATGGGCTTCTACATAAATCACCAGGAATTCTGATGATGTGTCCAGCCCTCGCGCACCACCCACCCTGAGGCCTGTGGATGGTAACGAGGATCTAAAAGATCAAGAGACAAAAGCCCCAGGGAACTTTTATATCCTGGAAAACCCAGGCCGTAATAACAAATTATTTATGTTTTTGAAAATTCTTAAAATTATACCTTTTCCACCTGTGAGAGCTATTGTTTACAGACCTTTGACATTTTAATTTCTGACGCCAGAACACAGAAAAAAAAGGAAGTGAGGAAGAAAAGAAAACATGAATTTAAACATATGTTTTCATTCCCCAAACACAGACAAAAAATATGGTTTGTGGGTTCAGGTTTAGGATGTATGAGAGGGTCCGGGGGCAATCTTTGAATCTTAAATCCCAGATTCTGGTCTTAGCTGTACCCAAAACTGGCAGTAACCTTGGATAAAAGAAGAGCTAATCTCTTTGCCTATATATCTGTGCATGAAACGAGTAGCTTGTAATAACCTCTGTTACAAAAATTGTGTTTTGTTTTGAAAAATTGTTCCAGGAAAGGATATTATGTTTCATTTCATAGCTAAAAATGTTTTCTGTAACTTATAACAGAATACCTGAAACTGAGCAATTTATAAAGAAAAGGAATTTATTTCTTGCACTTATGGAGATTCAGAAGTACAAGGTCAGGGAGCTGGATCTGGTGAGGCCTTCTTGCTGGTGGGGATTCTGCAGAATCCTAAACTAAAGCCTCTCAAACATTCATATGGTAAGGGGGCTAGGCGTGCTAGCTCGAGTCTCTGTTCTTCCTCTTATGAAGCTACCAATCCCACTCCCATGATAACATAGTAATCCATTCACCATTAATCCATTAATCCAAACCACTTCTTACAGGCCTCACCCCTCCATACTGCCACTTTGGGGATTAGATTTTAATATGAGTTTTGAAAGGGACAAATATTTAAATCGCAACACTAAATATTTTAGGGAAAAGCCATATAGGCTTTCCTCCATGGTAAGATCATATTCTCATGACCGCATTATAGGTTCTGAGAGGATCCATGATGATTTAAAATAAAATGAAATTATTTCTTGAATTTATTTAACCATATATATATATATATTTCCCCCCCCCCTCTGGTTCACATTTTAACCTCTCATAGAATTAAATTTCTTGTGGAACTTAGTTTGACAAATCCTTGATATGAATGGTAATTAAAGACCTTGGTGGTTTTTGAATATTGGCATTTTATGACTTGGTAACACTTCATTAAGTAGTACATCAAGCCCGTTACCATACTGTGATAACTAATGTTCATAATGATGACCTGCACATTTTTAAGATCCTGAAGGGTACTCTGAGCAAATAAAGAAAGATTAAATTTATGGTCCTCATGGCTTAGGACTGGGTGCCTTTTTATATCTGGATCTTCTGAATGTTAGTAGGCTAAGAGTGAGTGTGTGTGTGTATACTCTTAAGGTACACTAATAAAGGTGACAGTTTTAAACCATGTATATTTATGGTTGCACACACATACATAGCTCAGGTTTGAATAGAACTCTGTTCTCTGAAGGGGAAAAAAGTGGACTGGTACCCCAAATCCTTTCATGCAGGGTTCTGATTAGAGGCATTATTTTACAGGAAAAGTGCATTGGCTCGGCAATCAAACAGAGATGTAACTATCAGACTGAAGTCTGTGACCTCGCAAAGTATGTGTCTGAACCTCGGTTTCCCCATCTGTTAAATGGGAATAAGAGAGTAGCTACCTCTCGGTGTTAAACAGCAAATGTAAAGCATCTGGCACCTGGGAGGAATCCAATAAAAACATGAGATAGATTTGGACCTCTTTTCAATATACCTTCTTCACAAGGGGGTCTGTACCTCTTAACCTTGGACTCTGCACAGCATCTACACACAGTGGTTTCTACTGCCAGGTGTTACCTGCTTCGTGAATTAAATAATCATGAAACTTAAATTTTGAAATAGACTAGGCATTTATTTTTTCCAGACCCCTTCCTGCTACAGTTTATTAGTGAAAGAACTTGGATCTTCTTCCCCACCTTATCCTAGTTTCTTTCTATTGTCACTTTCTCAGAAGGCTTTCCTTGACCACCTGACTAGTTCATATCATGGTGACAGCACTGGGTACTTCTCCCTTGGAGCATGGTACTATAGCGATCTCTCTCTGTGTATCTTTCTCTCTCTTTGCAATTCTCAGATTAGTGTCTATTCTCCCCAACCAGTCTGTAAGCTGTGTGAGGGCAGAGACCATGGCAGCTTTTGTCTGCCAGTTTTATCTCCAGCATTTAGCACAGTGTTTGGCACATAGAAGGTGCAGAATAAATATTTGAATGAATGAATAAATATTTGAATGAATACATGTTCTCTTTCCACTTCTTTTTTTTTTAGCGTATTATGGGGGTACACGTGTTAAGGTTACATATATTGTCCATGTCCCCTACCCCCTCGAGTAAGAGCTTCAAGCATGTCCATCCCCCAAATGTTGCACATCTTACTCATTGTGGTTGTATAAGAGCTCACTGGTTATGGGCTTTTCACTGGGGCTGAGCACCATAAGTGTGCCGCAGCCAGAGTCCTGTCTGTGCCCTACCCCTGCACGAGCACCCCACCCAGTAACAACCGACAGGTAACAGCCTACGGGCTTTTGATCATCTTGCTTATAATTGGCTCTCAACAAGATTAAAAGGAAGGGAAGGCAGTGGGACTGGGTCAGAAGGCATCTCCGTGTTAGGGTCCTTTTCTTGCTGCTGCAGTCACATTGCATGTGGCTGTTCGCTTTGTGTGGTTTGGTTTCTGGGTTTCTTGCCTGTCTCTTTAGCTGCTAAACTTTGAAGACTTTATTGCCAGTGGGTTCATATTTGCAGGAGTTCCGGCCCTACTACATTGCTCCACCTGGTGACATTTGTGACTTGACTGCCTGGCTTCTGATACACACCTGACAGCCCACGTCTCCCTTGCACTCTCTTCCCCAGCCTTGGCTCTGTTCCCAGTGCCCTCAACCTGTAGCCACCCACAGCACAGCATGAAGGAGTAACTCGTTCAACAATATTTGCCTAAGGAAACATAGCCCACGGGCAAAAAATGCCTGGACTTCAATATCTAAACTGCATTTCTCTGCTGCGAGGATTGAGGAATTGTGTTCTCCAGGGTGTTTCTAATCCCAAACCCTGTGTGCTCAGCAGGCTCTGTGGTTTTATGGGAGACTGCAGATGGCCTACTTCCCAGTTGACCTTAGTTGACTGCCTGTGTCCTGGTATTCTCCTAAAAATCCAGACGTGGAGATCCTGGGAAGAGAGAATGATAAGTCAAGGCCAGTGGTGGTATTTACTCAGAGCAGATGGTGACAAACTCCCAAGCTCTCTCTCCCTGAGCATTACTCCAGGAGAATTTTCTGGGTCTGATACAGCTGAGAAAGGATGAATCCAGACACATTTGCTCTCTGGGCCTGTCTACAAAGAGCGTGTTAAAAACTCATTATTCATTTTTAAAAATAGTGCAATGAATTCCATTGCTATGTTCGTAGTATGTGCAACAGCATCATATTGGAGAGAAACCAGACTAGGTGTCTGGAGATTTGCATTCTACTTCCAGCTTGGAAAAGTTACTTAATTTCTCTGGTCTCATTTAACTCATGGGTTCAGCTGCCTTCAGGTTTCTTCTATTACTACGTGCCTAATACCATGCCTGGCTAAAACAAATATGGATGATAACAAAATCCAGTATTTATCTAGGGTTTATGTGTGCCAAATACTCTTCTAAGCATTTTGAGGCATTCCACTATTTTATTGGACAAATAAATAACTGTGAAATAGAAAGTTGAATTAAAGTCCTTTCATTATGTATTATTTTTTCCTACATATTCAAAGTTAGTTGTCCTCTCTTAGATCTGTCTCTAGTACTTCCCTTGCCACTCAGCAATACAATTATCTGCTTGAGGTTTTGGTATCAGCACATGGTAAGGCACATGTTCTCATTCATTTTTCTTTTTCTAGCACCCGGCATAAATCCTAGC